GCCCACAACAACAACTATGAGAACAGCTGAACAATTTATTATTGATGGTTAAATAAACTTTAAACAAAAGAGGATGGGAGCCAAGTTTTCTATCGGCATGCTCACAATCAAAATTTTATATGCATAAGATATATTCATTAAGCTTTTGATTTTTTTTGTTTGCTTTTTTCAGCTGGTAATGGACTGATGTCTGATGCCAATATCGGATCAGAACATTAGACAATAAAAAAGGAAAAAAATATCCTCCTCAACAACATTTTTATTATATAAACAACCAACATCACCCCACCTCAAAAACAAGTAGATAGACAAACAGACAGATAGTAGTGATGGTGAGATGAAGCCTCATTAGACACCATTTGAGCTAATTTGCTGCAACGATCCCCACAGTTCATGAAGCTTCATGTGAACATGTCACCACCTACTGGTGGACAGTAGAACTACAGCTTGTAATAAAATTTGTGATTTTTTCCCCCTTTTAAGTTCCTTTGAAATTGTTAATGGTTGTTTGTGTAATAAAATCTTTTCTAAGTTTTTTTTAAGTGTAAAATGTCTTAGAACAATAATTTAAGGTGCACTGTTTTTCTTCCATTTTAGTGAAATAAGCTCAAGCAGACAGTGAAAGTGTTTGTAGAAATTGGGCGATGGTGAGCAAAATGAAAGGCGTTAGTCATTTTTATTCAAACATAATAGTTTTTTTTCCCCCACATTTTTTGGTTTTAATCGGGTTGGAAGTTGTGTTCAACCAATCTTTTGACTAAACCGACCTAATTTGGCAGCGTTTTTACCAAATCTATATTTTTACTAGGGCAAACCAATACAAATTAGTCTCAGCCAAAATAAGTATCATCACAACTTTCAAAAGCCAAAGGCAGGTCTTGAACCATCATCCTCAGGAGAGGGAATCTATGCCTTATTTTTTTTTTTTTTTATTTAACCTTTATTTAACCAGGAAGTCCCTTGAGATTGAAATTTCATTTTCGAGGGAGACCTGGCCAAGACGGCACACCAGTTAAAATACAAACAGAAATACAACATTGACAAAATCTCACATAGAGGAAAAGACAGGTCACATAGGGCAGTTGTGACCTGTGACATGACATTTTAACATGGCCTTAAATTTATTCAATGGGTGTAGATCATTTAAATGGAGCAAGTTTTGCAAATTATTCCAGGACCATGGAGCAAAGTAAGAGAAGGATTTTTTCCCCAGCTCAGTAAAAACCACTGGAACCTTACAAATGAAACCATAAGCGATTAATTGCCCAATGGAGAAAATACAACTTAACACTAGCGTTACAATTGTGTCAGGTTGCTCGCTCAGATTTTGATCATTACATTGTTTATTCTAACCAAAATAGTTTTAACCAACTAGATTGGTTGTTTTTTCCCAACCAATCTATTCTTGGAATCTATCCAAACTCTGTCCAACTGACAGCAACTCTCCAACAAACTCCCACATCATGACTGAATACTGAGGCTGTTTAAATGCCAGATAGGTAGATAGATCAGATATTTAGATAGATTAGATAGATAGATCAGAACAAGTTGACTCAGAAAAGCCTGAAACTATATGCATGCCACACTTTTCAGATTCTTTTCAATGCACATTTTGGACATAAAGCATCATTGATAAAATAGCTTATACTACACAACATGCTAAGCAAGTATTTGTACCTCAAATAAAAACATACAAATGCTTTGTTGTGACGTAAGAGGGTGAAGGATTATTGATGCTCTGCCTCAATCTGTGGAGAAAAGCCGGATATCTGACCTGTTTATCACAGAGGTCCCCCTGATGAAAGGAGACGCCTGGAAGCTCGTAGCTCTGTCTGATGTCAAACACAGAGACAGAATAACCTCTGTCCACCAGCTTCTCCACCAGGTGTCTGCCAAGAAAACCAGAGCCTCCGATCACTGCACACCGCTTACTGCTCTGAGGGAGAGAATAGAAGCCATTATCGACCAAACACACTGAATAAAACTTAAGAGAAGATCTCTGACTCACCGGCCGAATTCTTGTAGCCATAATGAGATGAAACTGACCAACAGGTGGAGAAATTACGACTGTGAGAAGGAAAAAAGTTTGTCTTCCTGTTTTCTTTTTGGATGTTTTTTGTAGCTAACAGCACAGAGACGAAAAACTTTCAAACACGAAGAACACAGTGTTTAACTTTTGCCGTTATTCTACTTAAACCCTGCTCTAATTCAGCGTTTAAGCTACATGGACTGTTTCTATCAGCTGAGACAGTCTTCCTGTGATTGGTCAAGATATCAGCAAGTGTAAAGGCGGTGTTTACGGCCAGCCAATAGATATTAAGATACGTCAAAGAACGCCACAATTTTGACCAATAACAGAACGCGATAGGATTACTTCCGCCTAGTGTATCGGAAGCCACGCCTCTCAGGTTTCATGACATGACGTTTCACCTCAAACCGAGTTTATTCCATTTTTATGAGCACATTATCGTATTTATATTCAAAACAGAGAAGTTTTAATTTATTCAAGGATTGATAAAGGCCTGTACTTATATATTTTTTTAATTTATAAAAGAGTAGAATTGAATATAAATATTGTTAAACTGATGACAATGACAATCAAGCAAATAGGTTCACACATCACTAAAACGTTACATAATAATCAATAAAAAATAGTAACCAAACATCAGCGTAGACTGTAGAGCAAATGGTTTCCTATCTTTTTAGCTTCTGAACACAAAATGGTTCCAGAATGGTCTCATGACCCAACCTTTAGGTTAGAATTAAAAAAAAAAACTTTCTGACTATAGATATAATAGTAATAAATCAGCATCAACAATTTGTATTTGGTTTAGTCCATTTTTAAGCGATGCTTTAATATCTTAAAACACATAAAAATGGTTTATCATCTTCATTTTTATTTGACAGCATATTTCATGACCTGTGACACCATGTGAGGTCATGACCCCAAAATTGGGAATCAATGCTGTAGAGGGGAAAAAACACAGTACTATATATATATATATATATATATATATATATATATATATATATATATATATATATATATA